GAGTGCAGACTCTCTGCTCTCCCAGTGGGATGAGAGGTGCCCCAGCCGCCATCCTGGGGCTTCGTCTGGTCATTGTTCCGTTCCCTGGGCGAGAGCCCCTTTTCCAGGTCTCTTTTGGTCATTTGTTTTGACGGGGTGCATCCTCTGGTAGATTCCTGAGAGGGGATATTCGGGGAGAAGTTTTTGAGACTGCAGTGTTTGCGTGTGTCTCTTTTCAACCCTTCTATTTGAATGGTAGTTTGACTGGGCCTCAAAAAGTCTGATGCCTTTTCATTCTTTCCTTTTTGTGTATGATTTGTGCTGGTGGTCATGGTTTATTTTCCCTCACTAGAATATTGATAGACTCTTCCCATCCTCTTAGAAATTTCAAAATGGTGTGCTGTAGTGTGATACTTGTCCATTGGCTGTAATGAGCACAAGTGGACCCTTTCATTGCGGACACACATGTCCGCGGATCCCAAGACATTTTTTCTTTGGTTGTCACCTCTGGGTTTTCTCTAGCTTCCCCCTTCAGTGTCTCTTTTGGTCAGATGATAGATCTTCTGAGCAGCCTCTCAAACTCTCCTTTTTACTCCCATTTTTCAACCCTTTGTCTTCCAACCAGGTATTGAACATTTTTGTTAGCTTGCAAGAGTTTTTTACTGAAAACCATTTTTGTGTCATGGGTACAATATCTTGAAGCTTTTTTTCTTTCTAAGCTACCTCTTCAATTAAACTTTTTTTCTGATTGTTATCACCTGTTTTTGGAGTTTGCTAATCCTTGGCTCTAATTTCTTGTTCAAGTGTCAGTCACTGAAAAGCCGATAAGACTCTCCACAGCTTGGTGGGCTTGTTTACCGATGGGCTTGACCTAAAAGTGATTGTCCAGAGATTGCAGTATCTAGAGATCGTTTTCCTGTGGACTGGGTAATTTATCTGAGATCACAGAGAGGGTGAAGACAGCCGAGTGAGCTTTGCACCGAGGAAGTCCTTTCCCTGGATTGTTCATGTTGTCTCATCGTTGTCCTCAGTTCTGTCTGATGGCCCTGAGGACAGCTTTCTCATTCAGAGCCTAGGAAGGAAGCCTCCACTTTCTACCAGGGGTGAGGCAGGCAGCTTCCAGCTGCTGAGGTTAGGAGCTGACTGCTACTCAGGCCAACTCTTGTATCTGTAATCCTGCCCCACCACCCCACCTTCCATGGCAACTGGGAGTCTGGAGCCATTCTGTGTTCTGCAGAGAAAATTGGCTGGTTTTGTTGGGGGTTTCTCCTGCTATCCCGGGCTTCCACATGCTGTCTGCAGCTTGATCACCTTGCTAGCCTGCGTCTGTTTCAGCTCCTGTCCACGGCAGCGGCTTCTGCTCTCTGCTTTTGTGGGGGGGTGTCCTTCCAGGCCTTTCCTGTTACATTAATACTTGAGAAGGCCGCAAGAGAGTAAGTTAAAAAATATATATAAATCAGAGAAACTTTTATGAAACAAAATATAAAAATGTGAAGCTATTGCACTTAAATATGAGGAAGAGTTGGGATGAGGCCTTTTACTTGCATAAAGATTTAGCATCTCAGAATTCCCAGGCCGATTCTACTCTGCCGTGTAGGGTAGCTATGAGTTGGAGTCGACTCTATAGATGGCAGTGGGTTGTTTGAGTAATATTTCTTAGCATCACCTTTATCTGGGGCTGTACGTTTCTTAAGGTGATGCTTTCACATTTCTAGTCCTTCCCTGATGAATTCTACTTTGCAGTTTACACCAACACCACATCGGTACTGTAATGTTGGCATCCTCGTGGAACTCAGTTTATGTTCCTTTCCCTGTTGTTTGAGTTTGAGGAACAACAACCAAACAAAAGCCTGAAGGGGTAAGATCAGGGCTGTAAGGGTGGACAGGGAAGGGTTTCCAGGGAACTTCTCATAGGAGAGCCCTTGCCACCCTCGAGGACTACGTGTGATGGGAAACTCCCTGTGGTGCAACCTGGCAGCCCTCTTCCCAACAATACGGTTTTCACGTCTCTTACACCTTTTCCTCTGTAAGCTCCTGGGGCTGTCCTGTGTCCTCTGAGAGAAACCATCAAGATTGCCCCCTTTGGAATTCCATAACCAGTCACTGTCACTTTTTGAGTTGACCATGAATTTAACTGACCCTGGATTTTTTAAGGCACCTTAAGTTTATTACTGAGCAATCTTGTCTGCAGCCATCTACAAATTGCAGACTGTTTGTGCACGTTTTTGTTTGTAGTAAACAAACCCATGCAAATATGAACTGGAACCCCAGTGGGCACCCTTCTTGACAGAGCGTTGTGCCTGTTTGGTGAAGTCCTTTCCTCCCTCCCACCCCCATGCTCGTCCTTTCCAGATTCCCCCGGAGGCCTCCTTCAGTGGCTCCCCTGGCGTCTGCACACCGAGGCTCCTGAGGATCTGTGGGGCAGGCTCGTGACTTTGCCCAGGGCTCTTGTTCTGCAGCCTGGCTGCACTGGGTACATTGATGCTGATCACAACTTCTATATGTTACCGTACTTTTTTTTTAACTTTCAAATGTGCACTGTCTTACTGCGGCTGTCTGGCTTTAATGTGCACTTGAGGAGTAGATTCAGTACTAGGCATTGGTCCCATCGATAGCTTGTAAAGCTCAGGTCACAGAAGTGTTTTTAGGACAGTCTGTTAGGGTTTGGTGGGGGTATGGCATATTGGAAACATTGTCAGCTGTGGAGTCAGATTGCGTCCCAACTCTTCCTCATATTTATTCTGTGACATCGGGAAAGTTGTTTCCCTCTCTAAACACGTGGTTTGGTTGTTGGGTAAAATGGAGCTCACACCACCTGCCTCAGCGCCGGTGCGCTTGGCATCAGAAGTCCAGCGAGTGCCGGGCCCTCCTCCGGGAGGATGGTTGCCCTGTGCATGTCGTGCTCTCCTGCGGAGGGGACTTGCCGATGTTGAGTACTTTTTCCAGAGAGACAGGCTGTTCTGAAGAGGGAGCTTCTGTCCACGCCCACAGTGAAATGTATGCAACGATGAGGCTTGTATGGCACCCTAGACATTCGCGTGTAACTCACATTGCCTCGGAACATTTACCATCCCAGGCTGTGACCGGCGCCACTCAGAGGGTGGAGCCAGTCTCACTTGCCACCTCAGCACACGTGTAACCACCAACAGCACCATGCTGACAGTGCCGTGTGGAACATGGTGCTGCCTGGAGCCATCAACGGGCATTTGCACCAAAGAAGTCTTACTCGGTTGACCTTCAGTTTTCATATGTAAATAGGGGGAGCATGGATACCTTAAAAAAATGTTTTTATTAACAGATCATTTTATTGTGGTCTCTTACAGGTCTTATAACAATCCATACATCAGTTGTATCAGGCATATTTGTACATATGTTGCCATCATTATTTTCTAAACATTCACTTTCTATTTGAGCCCTTGGTATCAGCTCTTCTTTTTCCCCTTCTTCTCCACCCACCCCCCCACTCATGAGCCCTTGATAAAATTATAAATTATTGTTATTTTCATATCTTAGACCGACCGCTGTCTCCCTTACCCCATGGTTTCTGTTCATCCCCCACCCCCACCCCCAGGGGGGAGTGAGGTTATATGTTGATCATTGCGATCGGTTCCCCCTTCATCCTCTTCCCACCTTCTCCCTATCCTCTTGGTATTGCTACTCCCATTCCTGTTCCTTGATTCTGAGTGTCCTGAGCTCTTATCTCTTATATGTACCTGTGCACATGCTCCCATCTAGCCCTAAGTGAAAGGCAGGTCTGGGGTCATGGTAGTGGGGAACCAGAGGAGTAGTGTGTGTCTCATCAGTGCTAGACTGGGCCCTGGTTGACTCATCCCTTCCTTGTTTAGTGCCCAGCTCAGAGCCTGACTGTTCAAAGACACTGGTGTTACTGATCCTTGGGAAAGTATCTAAGCTGGTCACCAGGGCACTGCAAGACAGGAGGCAGGTGAATGGAGTTCCCAGGTGCCAGAGAGGGTTTTGTCTTTCAGAAGAGAGATGTTTGAATTTTGGTGGGTACAGGAGGCCAGAGGGAAACAGAAATGGGGAAAAGCGTAAGATAAAGGAATAAATCCCCCAAATAGAGGTCTCCCTGTACCAAGAAGCCCTGCGTTGGTGGGTGATGAGCATGGATGGGGGTGTAGAGGAGCAGGTAGTGTTAGTAGCCAGTCCGTTTTATTGCCCTCCAGATGTTCTTGTATGACAGTAGTGGGCTTCCTACTGGAAGGAAGCTTTTCTTATACTCCTTTTTCCCACAAAAGGGCTCTCAGAATTACTGGGAAGTGATTCTCTGGTTTTTAACACAACTTTGTTGTTTTCTAGGCCCTATATTTATGGTCCAACTTCCCAGGGAGAAAGGATGCAAATTCTGCAGAATTTCAAACACAACCCCAAAATCAACACCATCTTCATATCCAAGGTTTGTAGGGTGAAGCCCTTAGAGTTGTGTCAGTTAGTACCTGGTATCCTTGGGGGGTTCACTGGATGATTTTTGGACAGAAAGTGTATGTTTGTTTAAGGAACCTCATGTTTTCATTTCCATTCCCTGTTCCCACATGTCCGTTGTTGGGGCAGGGATGGGGGGCAAATGTTTTGTTTTTTAAAATCGTATTATGGAGAATTATGATGAACTGAAATTATTAGCATGCCTCTTCCATCCGTGTCTTTCTGACTCTCACTAAGTGGTCAGGTGAGACCATACAAATCAGGTGTGTAAAACAGTCATCGGTGGAAGGGGTCAGTTCTGCCCTTCCACTGGGTGTATGAGAGTGAGCCACCTCAGAAACACAGGAACCCCACAGTCAGCAGGAAGGAAAAGCCTCCTGTGGAGCCTGGGTGAGCCCTCACCGTAATCCCATTGGGCAGAGCAGAGGAACAGTGCTGAGATCGTGGGCAGCGTGGGAGTCCTGGCTGTGACTGAGGGTCATGTGACTGAGAGGCTGAAGACCGACCCGGGAGACGTGACTGCTGAGAAGCGGCTCTGCTGTGGACAAAAGACTATTGTTGATCTTTTCTGATCCTGACGTGTAGTGACCTATTTACTTCTCTAATGAGCCCCCATAATCCTGAGAACTGTCTGAATTCTGTGTAGCCATTGCAAAGGATTAATGAACCTAGCAGAGAAGTAGAGTCCCATAGGAGGAAAGTTTGGTTTCAGATAAGGGTAAGATAAAGATAAGAGTGAAAACCTGTCTGACCGCTGCCCCGTGGCATTTGGCCCTGGACTAATGTGGGGTTAGATTCTCCTCCCTACTGAAGCTGGAGAAAGTCAGACAGATGTGTGCGGATGCGCACACACACAACACACTTCAACCTTCCCAGTGTCATTTCCTCAGTAATACACGATTCTTTGCTTGATCTAGGTGTTCTCTACCTCTTACTGGATTACAGGAGTTTTGAATTGTATTTACTTTATCAGAGTCATTTCTTGTGCACGCATTCAATTCAGATTCCGTTGTCTTTCTGGATTTAGTTTCTTTGATATTGTAGACAGCCTTTGTCCTGCCACATCACAGTGAGTGGCATAAGCACCATTCAGATTCATGCATGCCCAGCCCTGTGGTGGGCTTAATTTGCAGTTAGAGGTTGTGGCCTGATAGTGTAGAACATTCAGTGTGGAACAGACCGAAAGCCCAGAAGTAGTGAGATTTGTCCATAGAGTGATTGTAAGTAGGTACCAGATTTTCAAGTCTTTGTCTAGTGCCCACGGTGATTAGAGTGTCTGAGTATGAGTGTCACCCAGTGCCCGTGTCACCCCTGCCAACTCATGTCCCACAGGTGCTGCTGGGCTTTGTGGGTGAGACAGTTTTGTGCAAACCTGTTCTCTAGTTGTTTTTTTAAAAAAAGGAATCACTTAAAGAATGCATCTTGGTGATGGGGCTTATATTTGGGTGTCTAGCACCTCAGTACCAATTATGCTTTCAGGCAGATGGTGGTACTGTGGTCAGAGCTGGTCTTTATGTATAAAGGGTACATACATTCTCTTAGGAGAATTCAGATTAGGTCTTGGGTCCAGAAAGGCATTTCCGAGACTCACTACCTTACCTGTGTCAGGGTATGTCAAGAAGAGGACAGTGACTCCTTTTACTAAATTATCTTGAAAGATTATTTACATTCTAGGCCAGTTAGTTTTTGTGTGTGTTTTTCCTGTCTCAGAAATTAAAACCTCCCCAAACTCACAGCGGCCTCATTTCTTTAGGTAGGAGACACATCATTTGATCTTCCAGAAGCAAACGTTCTCATTCAAATCTCTTCTCATGGTGGCTCCCGGAGGCAAGAGGCCCAGAGACTAGGGCGTGTCCTCCGAGCCAAAAAAGGTAAAGATGCTCTTTCCTGCTATGCTCTGGGGGGGTTCCTCCCTTTTCACTGTATCTGGGAGGAATAGGGTAGAGGGAGTGCCTTGTTTGCTTCAGCGACTTCTTACTTGTTGGTTAATTCAGAAGGGAAGGAGTCACAAAGCAAGGACCAATATATCTCTTTGGCCCTTGTTAATGGCCTTTGTGGGTGAATCCATGACCGTTTCCTTGGTAGTTGTCTGAAGTTCACATGGATGACCTCTAAGCAGAGTGGGTGTGCTTGTGGCAGCAGAGTGTGAAGTAGTGTAGTGTGTTAGTTAGCATTAGGCTGCTAACCTTAAGATTGGCAGTTCAAATCCACCAGTTGCTCAAAGGGAGACCCATAGGGCTGCCTGTTCCTGTAAAGATTTACAAAATTCAGAAAGCTTACGTAGCAGCTTCATGAGTTGGAGTTGGCCGGTGACAGTGAGTTTATTTTGTGTTTGCCATAATAAATTTTATAATCAAAAGATTTCCCTCTTAAAATACAGAAGTAAATCCAATATGAAAATTCCTTTGAATTTCATTAGAATTTTGTTTTCTTAGTCAAAATATTATTTGACATAGAATATTTGTCTCTTTGTCTCTCAGCGTCTTGTAAAACAAAGAAACAATTGAATTCAAAGGCACAGACACATAATCAGCTGGTCTTTGAACTGTGACCCAAATGTTCTCAGTTCTGTGTAGAATCAAGTCTTACCAGCCACCGATACTTTCGTTCATTGTCTCTGTGATACTTCTTGGTACAGAGGTATTTTATTGAGATGCAATTCACATACCATACCATTGACTGACTAGAGAGTATAATTCAGTGGTTTTCAGTATATTCAGAGTTGTGTGATGATTTAGTAGCCCGCCATGTCTTCCCTTTTCCCTGTCCAGAGCCGTGTTGTTTTGCGTGCCATAGAGTTGGCTCTGACGCCCGAGGACTGAGGCAGCGTAGAGCTGACCATAGGTCTCTGAGTCGGTGAATCTTTACAGGAGCACACAGCTGCTGCTTTCTCCTGTGGAACGGCTGGTAGGTTTGCACCGTCGGCTTTCTGTTGGCAACCCAGTACCAAACCCACAGTGCCACCTGAGCTCCTTTCCCAACCTCACAAAGTCAAACTTTCTGCCAAGTCCACCAGTTGGCACACATTTTGTTTCATGTGTTTGATTGCAGCACTCACAGTGCACCAGCACTTTTCTCACTTCCTCTCTCTGCTTGCCTTTTCTACTCCTACGTCTCCACTAGCTTTTCTGGACTTTGTCCTTGAGCAAGTGCTGCCCTCTATATTTCAAATGGTTCATTATTCTGAGGTGCATATATCCTTTACGTTAGGGTAGACCTTTGAGGAGCCCTGGTGACCTAGTGGTTAAAATTGGGCTGCTAACTGCAACGTCGGCAGTTTGAACCCACCAGGTGCACCTTGAGAGAAAGACGGCTTCTACTCCCGTAAGGAGCTACAGTCTTGGAACTCACAGGGTCTATGAGGTGGCATCAATTCAATGGCAGTGAGTTTTAAAGGCCTTTCTTTAAAAATTGAATCACAGGATGAGTTTCTCATGGTACCATTCCAAAGTAATTCTTTTCCTCTGAGCTGTTTTTTAGGCAGCTCAGGAAGATATCTCCTGGAGGATATGATTCTTACCCATTGATGACTATGTTCATTAAAGGAATTTAAAGTAGAGATAAACTATATCTTTCGGAGAAAATTCTTCTTGGTTTATGTATCAGCTGTCTAGCCACCTGCTTATATCGATTACTTTGCAATTAAGAAACATTTAAAGAGAAAGACCAGCAAAACAGCTACTCTGGAGAAGGACTTTTCTGATGACTGCTGCAAACTTCTCTCATCAGAGCACCTCAGAATTTCTAAGGTAGCGTATGGCAGCATAGGGAGCCCTGGTATCATAATGGGTTTCACATTGGCCTGTTAACTGCAAGGTTGGCAGTTCAAATCCACGAGCTGCTCCTTGGAAGAAAGATGAAGCTGTCCCCATAGAGATTTACCCCTGTAGAAGCCCCAGGGGGCAGTTGTACTGTGTTCTGTAGGGCCACTGTGAATCAGAGACAACTTTAGGGGCACGTTTCTTTGGTTTGGTTTGTGGCAGCATGCAGACAGCCTGATTTCTCCCCAGCCAGTACGACTGTGTTGGTGCTCCCGTGGAGAAGATTTGGTCCAGAAAGGTCTGAGTGACTGGTACATGCGTTGCCTCTTCAGGAAATAGATCCTCCATCACCAGGGGCTCTTTGAGAGACCCTCTCTGTCATCAAGTCCTGGGTCCCTGTGCAGAGTACAGGGATCATCCTTCTGACTCCCGTGTTCGCCCACTGTGCTGCCTGCGCTTAGCCTTGGACCTCAGCTCCGGGCACTCTAGTGAAAAGTGTTGACCTTATCCTGCTTCCCCTCCCAAGGTATGGTTGCAGAGGAGTACAACGCCTTTTTCTACTCACTCGTGTCCCAGGACACTCAGGAAATGGCTTACTCAACCAAGCGGCAGAGGTTCTTGGTAGATCAAGGTTATAGTTTTAAGGTAAGTATCCATTTGGTCTCTAGTGAAAGTAGCACCGACTTTTGTTGGCCTGACCTCCACGAGATGTGGGGTCCGTCAGCAGCCTGAGAATAGCCACAGGCAGCCACCAAACACTGGGAGACTCGGAGACGCTTGTCTCTGTACACAATGCTGGAATTCTGCAGGACCCCTTCCCACCCTCACCCTCCTGTAGCAAATAGTCGTGGGTTAGGCTTGAGGGAAGCACTGGTTTTCTATAGATGCTGCCAGTTCTCTCTTGCAGGAGAGGTGAGTATGTGGCCAGTCTGGCAGCACTGCCTATTAAAGGTGGCTTCTAAAGCCGGTGTCGGGAATGGCAAAAGTGAGCTCCTCATTGTAGGCTAAAGTGGGCAGTGGACGTGCGGAAAGGTGACCAGGGGAGCAAAGCCAGGAGAGGGCACAGGAGGCCCACAGAGAGCGAATAAGAGGGAAGCCTGCTGCGGTGTGCTCTCCAGGTGATCACAAAGCTTGCTGGCATGGAGGAGGAAGATTTGGCCTTTTCAACCAAAGACGAGCAGCAGCAGCTTCTACAGAAAGTCCTGGCAGCCACTGACCTAGATGCCGAGGAAGAGGTGGTAGCAGGAGAATTTGGCACCAAATCCAGCCAGGTGAGTGGGTGAGGCTTCTGATGCCAGTCTCTGGAAGACAGGACTCACATCTACATATGTAGAAACAGATGTGCCCCTCGTCTTGTGGATTGTTATTAAAACTTAGGAAACAGAAATACAGAGAGAAGCAGATATTAGAAACAGCTCTGATAGCCTTTTGGTGCCTAGAACTCCTTTGTGGAAAAGTGGAAATAAACGATAAAATATAAACCTTGTCTCTCTCAACATGAGTTCTGTGCCGTTTAAGACCCTTTGTGAGCAACGGTGCCGGCCATTTAGTCCATCCCTACAGGGCTGCGGACCCTGGGAGTGTGCCATGTCGGTGCATGCTTTTTTTACAGTGTTAACTAGAGAAAAATTAGTGCCCTTAGATTTTTTAAGATCAGGAAACAATGTTAAAAGGAGCCAAATTGGAACTGTAAGGTGGATGCTTAATGCTTTCCTATAGAAATGTACACGAAATTGTTCTTGTTTGATGAGAGAAATGAGCAGGAGCATTGATACGGCGGAGCAGGGCTCTGGTAAAACTTTTCCTGTGTTTTCGTTCAAGCTTTAACTAACTTTCTCACAGCGCTTTCATAATGAGTAGGTGTTGAAATTCTCTGGAGGAGCCCTGATGACATAGTGGTTACATGTC